CTGCATGCCTCACCCTGGGAACTGAGCCCGCAACCCGGGCATGCGTCCTAATTGGGAATGGAATTCCTGGTTCATGAGTCGACACTCAGCCATTGAGCCACACCAGCCAAGCCATGGTTTTGATGGTTCTTTAAATGTGAAGACTGCAGCGCAGCTCCTGTGATTTCAACCTGTGATACTGTCCTCATGTCGAGGGAGGTGGAGCGCAAACACACCACTAGGTGTGTGATCCTGCAAGACAAAGAGCTGGCTGCTGTCATAAACCTGCAGCAGAATCTCAAGCAGTGACATCGAGGTCTTTCTCTGTCTTTCTGCCTTTTGTGTTGAGTCTGTTTCAAATGTCTAGTCAGTTTGCTCTGAGGGTTTTCAGCAAATTCACACTCAGGCCTCTGCTGAAAGAGGGAGGCCGTATTGCATAGTGGCCAGCCTGTGATGGATGAGGCCTCACGCTCCAGTCAGATCGTCTGGGTTAGAAATACCGCTGTACCACGTAGGCAGTGTGGCCGTGGGTCCTTTCGATTTCCGTGCCTTCATTTTCCCATCTGTCAAATGGGGATGATAAACCAATGTGATGAGATGATGGTGGCGGTTCAAGGAGTTCCTATAAGTAAAGCACTGGCATGGAAAGCATCCTGGAGAGGTGGCGTCTCGTCACCGTCACCCAGTGTCACTGTCCTTATATGGCTTGCTAAGTCTCTCTGAAGCCATTTCCTTATGGCTTCCCTTCTGTGCGCCTTTCTTAGCTAACCCGTCTGCAGAGGATTTGAGCTACACCTACGGAGATTTCAAAAGGGGGGCCTCGTCCACTTACGTGACGTATCTCATCACCACGGACGAACAGACGCGGTCACAGGGCCTGTCGGAAGTCCTGAAATACGAAATCGCCGTGGGGAATGAGTCCAACACCCACGGCTACTACAACGGGAAGCTGGAGCCCCTGGGCTCCTATCGGTAAGGTCTCCTGGTTCCTCCTCTGTGGGGGCCGAGCCCCCCGGGAGCAGAGCTTTCCGTGCCTGGGAGCTGGACACGCTCAGCCGCCTCTCTTTCCTCCGGTCACCCCACAGGGCTTGTGTGGCCGGCTTCACCAATATCACCTTCAGCCCCGAGAGTGGACTCATAGACGGGAACGGGAGCTACGTGTCCTTCAGCCGCTACTCAGAGGCCGTGTCCTTGCCCCAGGACCCAGGTAGAGGAAGAACATCAGTGCTGCTAGCAGTCCTGTGGGTGCGGCTGCCGGTGTCCACAGAAGGCTGGGTGTCCCATGGGCTCCAGGAGGGTTGGAGTGCCTGGTTTCTCTTCTCAGAAGTTGAGGTGTCGCTTGGCCATGAGGTCCCCACAGCCCCTGCCCCCTTCTCTGAATGCCAGCTGCAGTTCAGTCTGCAGTTGGGTGTGTGCCCACGTGCCAGACACACAGGGTGACTCAGTGCCTAGAACCCTCAAAGGAGCCACAAGGATCGTCTTGTCCAATTCATTTGAGAAATGAGGGCGTTAAGGCCCAGAGAGGGGCAGGGACTCCCTGTGGCTTAGGGGCAGCCCTGACATTTGGTCTGACTCCTCGTCAGGCGCTCCTGCCCTTGATCACACAGAGCGCGGTGATTTAGGGGCGTCAGGGACCCAAGCAGGAATCGCCCCCTCCCTCCAGGCCAGAGTCAGAGGGACCCACTGGCTGGTGAGTTTGTCTGGTTTTCACACTTGGTAGTTGCTCACTACAGGAAAGAATTCCTGCCCCAGGAGCGAGGTGCTGGGAGTCTCCCAGCGGGTAGGTGGGTTCACGTCCCCTGAGCGCGGTGCTGTCGGCACCTCTGCTCACCGTGGTTGTTAGTCTCAGCAGGTGAGAAGTGTGCCAGTGTTGCCTCACCAAACAGGGCTGAGCCCCGAGACGCTCCCCATCCCCACCGCTACCTCAACTCAAGTGGTTGGGCTTCTGCGTGCAATTTCACTTGAAGAAAGAAATCC